TAAGTCAAGCTTCAAGAGTCAGTTACATGCATTATAGGCACAATGAAAGGTACCAGAATCTGTTACCATATTTCCTTACAATCAAAGAACCTCAAACCCACAACCCTCCAAAATAACCGTCCCAGCCATACTGTGATTCTGTCCTTCAGAAATGACCTTGTACTCATTGCTGATTATTTTAGGATGAAAGCACCTTTTAGAGGCTCATTGCTGCTCTGTGAAAAACTCAACATCAGTGGAGATCACCTCAATCAGCACACTTTCTATGAACCTCAGCCTCCCCTACTGCACTTACCAGAAGCCTGCTGTGCCTCTCCCTTTCCCCCACTGCTGTTTACCTTGGCTGCAGCAAACTTGCCCAAGTGTCCCCACCCAGCTTGGCTAGGGCTGCACTCAGGTGCAGTGCTCTTCTACTGCAAAAAACACAACTTAGAGAGCAGCTGTCACCTCTTTGCAAAGAGCACTCAGCCAAATTTCTGTCCCCTCATCTGTCCATTCTCTTTTACAATTATAGTCCCAGACTCACAACTGACTGAGATATGAAACACCCAGTCAGGGACTACCTGGTTTCCAGGTGGAGAAGGTTCAGGTGAACCTAATGTGGAAGAGGAGAATAAAGGGGTCATTTGCAGCTGGGTTAATTGTAAGTAACAACCCCTGCTATGGAACAGGACTGGACTAATTGACTGTTTCTGCTTTCTTTGCTCAGTGCACAATGACCATAGACAATGGAAAAGCCAACAACATAGATTGCTGGATTTGAGGTTTTGTTTAGTCTGCCTAGGACTCTGCACATTAGCTCAGAAAATACAAATCTACATAAAGTTGCTCCTCATTTTTTGAGGCAGTAAGCTCAGAAGTAACAATTTATCAGTTTTGCTACTACTATCGTCCGGCATTGCTATTTTTTGTGCCAGTACTCTCTGTGGTACAACAGTTATTTGAATTAGGAACAACTAATGGTTATTTAAATATAAATAACAACAGTTATTTGACTAGGAAATGGTAAATGTGCAAAATACAAGTTTGCCAAATATCTTAAAATATTCTAGTGGGAATGAGAGACTAACTCTTAATGGCAAATTTTCCTCTTTCTCCCCACCCCCAAAAGAAAAATGTCAAGAGAGGCAAAGCCTAGAAATATATTGGGTTGCAAGGGCTATCCTGCACTGATTGTGCTGGAATGAGTGGAGGCTTCCCTAACTTCATTCTGCTTTTGTTTGATTTGCTAAGATTTGAAATGCAAATGAAAAGCCAAGCTTCAGTCCCTGCAATTGAAGTCTTCTAAGTATTATTTACCAACAAAATGAAAGAGTAATCAAAGATTAGAAAGTAATGAGAGTCTATTTTCTTGAATTCCACTCTTACTTTCATTCTGAGTTTCTTCAAAATAATCATGTTTGGTTACACATTTTTTTCCTTGCAAATTTTTTGTAGTAATTGTAGAAGTCTGAGCTACTGAAAAGAACAACATGAACTGTTTTTGTTAACTACCATTAAAGAGAATCCTTAAAACCAGACAAACAATTTAACTGCAGTTATGATGACATTGAAAAATTAATATGGATTATGCTTGTAGCTGAAATAGGCTTAAAAAATGAAAGTACTGTTAAATACACGTATTTACATTATTGGCACTGCAATTTTTTTTTCATGCCAGTGCATGCCCAAAACTACTCTATGCCAGGTCAACTGCTTACAAAGTAAGCTCCATTAGAAAATTCTCTATTCTCATGGAGTTCAAGGCACTAAAAATTACACTGGGAAAAAATGCCCTCTGCAAATAGTTCCATTTATCTTTTTAATTGAGAACTATTACTGCAGTAATAGTTAGTCAATCAATAGTACAAATTCTGAGCATCTCCGAGGACAGAGAAGCCACCTCCTCTCTAGGTCCCTGTTCCGAAGCCTAGCATGTTCTTTCGGAATATTTTTTCTACCACTTCCTTTGAATTGCCCTTGGGCCTTTTGCCCAAGGTATTTGCTGTCCAACGCAAATGGGACTCTACCTTCCATACACTCTCCAAGCAGACGGCTGTGGACAGAGAGAGCACCTTTCCAGGCTGAACAAGCCCGGTTCCCTACTGGCGTATCACAGGCTACAGCCCCTCACCTTGGTGGCCCATTCCAGTATGACAATGTCTTTGTTGTACAAGGGAGACCAAAGCTGGATACAATGCTTCCGATGCCATCCCATCTCTCAGGCTGCTGTGCAGAGGGGAACAACCGCACCCAGTGACCTGCTGCTCCCGCTGGGCATGCTCAGGATGTCGCACTGAAGGGAACTGACCAGAAACTATTTGTATGAGCAATTCTATTTGTAAAAGGGACCTGAGAAAATAGAGTCCACACAAATCATTGTGCTTGAATATTAGGCGATATAATTGGAGAGTACATGTACAATATTACATGGATTACATTCATTTCTAATAATTAATAAGTGTGCAAAATTAATGGGCTTTTTCATGAAATTGTGTCCCCAAACCTGATGTTCATGGAATCGAACAACTCATCTTCCCTTTTAGAAAACATAAGTAGTGATACACTATTTTTTTCTTACCATTATAATGGTAAGAATATGACACATGCCTGCTGTCTGTGTGGCACATTAGACAGCATCCATTATCAAAATGGCCACCAGGCATTTCTTGGCTAAACGTTGTCAGTGTATTATTCAGGTTACATTACACCAGCATTTAAAGAGATCTAGAAGCTGAATGATTTGGAAAGGCCTGGTGAGCCGGTTCCTCCTGCAGGATTTACAACTCATCTCCACATGTTCCACTCACTTTCACCAGTGGGTGATCGTGTGGTACACAGCCAGGGCATGTAAGCCTGTCTGGCAATCCCATTTTGGGTCCAGGCTGTGGGAAAGGAAATCAAAGTTTCCTTTTTTGATCTACTGAAATGCTTTTAGCTCCTTTCAGATTTGTCATAACAACAATACACTTAAGGAATAATCTAATGCAGGCTTAAACCTGCATTCAGCACAGACTGCTAAAAATGCCTTTCTCAATTTGATATGCTACACTGATGTATTGCACTTTTCTGTATCTGTTTCATTCCCTTATGATGTATGAAATTCAAAGGTATTTTGCAAAGTAACAGCTAGCCCCAAGTGAGGCAGCTAAACCCACAAATCTGGATGTGCAACGAATATGATGTAGTCAAAGCTAATTAATTGTTCCATATCCATCATCATTCTGCCATTACAAAGTTCCTTTCCCTTTCTCTCAAGGGCTTTTCTCCTTCTCTCTATACCATTTCTGACGTCTTTCCACTGATGTACAAAGCTCTAACGCTCTCTTACATGAATTTAGGCTTCTTCCCCAGGCCTACTGGCATAATTTCCATGCACGTTTGTCTCAATTTCTTGCAGGTTTTTTCCAAAGGATATTTGAGTTTAGTCCTGAAGATCTGAATTGAACCAAAGTTCTCAGTATCTCCTGGGTGCAGCTCTGTAGATATCTGCTGCTCCTGCTTCACCCTCTGAGTCCTATTCTGAAGTCAGCATACACAGCAGCAGGAGCTGCAACTACCTTCTCTCAGTATCTCCTCTCCTCCTGTTTCAGTGGAGGGAGTAAACTTGAACCTTCTTCAGGCCCCTCTCCTTTCTAAGCAGAGGCCCAGGCACACCCTCAGAGGCACCACACTAACTGGCAGCTGGCACTGTCTGTCTCCCAGCAGCAGGGCATTAATAACCATTAACAAAATGCTATACAGTTCCAACATGATGTCAGTGGTATTAACCTCTGTCATTCCTGTATCAGCACTCATGAATGAATGTTTTTCCTTTTTTTTCCTTTAAAACTTATCTTTTAAATACCCCATAGCGTTGCAACCAACAGTGACTACTTAGAATAGCTCTTATTTTCCAATTTTGAAAATGAATTCTCAGTTATCAGTAGTGATTGCACTGAGCAACAGATGAATTTCTCTCATTCGTGTTTTTTTACCAAGCTTTATAAAAAATAAACCAAAGCAAAGCCTTCATACCCTACACACTTTTGAATATTTTTGAGAAATACTAAGGATTTGCCACCTATCAGAGAAAATAGGTGCAAGAGGTTTGGGAGTTTTCTGGAATGGAAAGTTTATGAGCAGATTACTCCGAACTGGTGTATTACAGCAAATCTGCTATCGCTTTCAGGAGCATGAAATATAAGTATCTTTTCTCAATTCAAACTAGTAACCAGAGCAGGAGCAAGTCCTTTTAAATGGTATATTCATAAAAGCCTCTTACAAACTTACAGTCTGCATTGTTTCTCAGCTCAAAACAAAATAAAATGCCAACACTATGAACAGAAAAGATAAAGTCTGTAGGAAGAGAGAGTTGGTATCATTTATTACAGTAATAAATACAGCTGAACAAGATACAGTTTTCCATGTATCCAACCACATCTAAATTCCTAGATCACTAATAGAAACATCCCTGCTGAATTTTCCTGTGATGATTCAGGATCAATATGCCTTAAGACGATTTGAAACACTGAGAGATCATTAAGACTGTCCTTTTCCTTTTACAGATTAAGAAGGACATATTTCCATTGCTTATATAAATTGCTATTTCCTGGAATACTCCAAGATATGAGAATGCCTAATACCAGCTTAGTTTAAGTGAACCTACATCCTCCTGTCTCCAACAATGACTTAAGATGTCCACTTTATCACAGTGAAATCTCTGGTTCTAGCAAATAGGATGGGGCCACCAGATAAATGTTCACATGGCAAAACTAGTCCTGCCCATCTCCATGTCTACACTCATGCCTAACAGCTATTAATAGGCACAATGAGTGGATGTGCAAGACCGGAGTGGGAATGCTTTGTACTCCCATGCCCTGTATCAGTCACACGATGCAGCTGTTTCTCCAACTTGGGTTCAGTGTGTGGGGTTTGATTTTCTTTTTTTGGTAGGTTTTGGTTTTGTTGGTTTTAGGTTGGTTTCTGGTTTGTGGTTTTGGTTTTTGGGTTTTTTTTGTTTGTTTGTTTGTTTGTAAAAAATTAAAAAGCTTTACCTCTCAAAAAACCCCAAGAAGTTCATGTGATGTAGACCTTCAACAGGAAATTGAAAGAGGTTATAGGTATTTGCCACTTTTTGTTCCTGCGTGTAGAGCAGCTGGTCCCAGTGGAATAAAGGCAAGGATGAAGTCATCTCTTCTATAAATGATGCAGCAACAAGGGATACTGCCACCAAAAGCAAAGTCTGCTCTGCAGCAGCTCAGTACAAAACATTGCAAGGAACGTTTTAGGGTCAGTGAGCTGAGAGCACAGCACAGGCACTGCAGTCATGTGGAAGCAGATGACAGGAGTGAAAGGATGAGTGTTTGCAGTTCTCCAGCCCAGCTGTAGACCTCCTAAGAAAGCACATGCTTCAGGTTACATCAGGTCTAAGAGACACCCTCTACCAGGCAGTGACCCAGCCAGCAGCACCTCCATGACAGGCAAATCCGTATCCCTGTGGAAATGGCAGAAGACTGATTAATTTAATCCCACACCCTTCCTAAGAAAAGATAGTAAGAGATAGTGAGGAGCAAAATTTGTACAAATGTACCAGTGTCTTCCTCCTTCTTTGGCAGAGAAAAGGAGGAGTAAATTCCATATGTCCACCCCTCCCCTAATCACAGCAGTTAGTAGAAGGGGGGGAGAAGGAGTTTTCTGCAAAGCCTGTGCCTTTGAGGCAGCAGAAGGGCAAGAGTTCAGTTTTACGACTCTTGGCCCCAACACAATTTACCATTTACAAACTAATCCTCCTCCGATCGAGAGCACAAGGCCTGCTAAAGCTCTCGTGTCCACTTCTCTGATTCTCCATTGTCCACACTGACAGGGAGAAGCCGAAGACCTAATCGGTGTGTAATTCAATCGCTGTCCAGGCTGTGTCACAGCACAATGCTGTGCTTGTAGTGCCATGGGGTAAGTCAGCCAGCTACTGTTATCCACCACAGCAGGTGTGAAGAATGTCACTTGGTCTGACTGTGTGTTGCCCCTCTGTCAAGGTCTGATTCTGATACTACATTCACTCACCACTTCAAGACTAGTTTTCCCTCTGGCAGCAAGCTAATTGTCAGCTCCATGGTAAAAGGGCACTTCCAGTATTTTTGACCCTGAACTGGGAATCCCTGCACAGCATAATATGGGCCTCATACAAAGTAAGCCCCTCTGCTCTCCAGATACTCAAAACATGGAGGCCTGCTAACAGGCTCTTTATTTCCTTAGTCTTAATCCAGCAATTAGTACATTATGACTTACTACACCCAAACTGCTTCACTCTGTTGTTCCTCACCAGACATAACACTGGACATTGCCACACATCTCTTGGGAATGGTTTAAATCCTAAAGCTCCTTGGTACCTAATTACATTTTAATCAGCAAAAGACAGATGCTTCAAAAAATTCTTAGTCACATGTAGGTGGTTAAAAATACCTGGAAAACCAAATTAAATGTGCTGCCACGCTAAAACACAGATCTTGGGCCACTCTGAGAATGGCATTTGGTTTGGTTTTTTAGCAAAAATTTACTACTCCCCAAAGAATAGAAAATTGCATTTTCATTATTCTTGAGTCATACCACAGTGCAAGGAGTCTGAGGAAGAGGAGGACAGAGGCAGGAGGCAGGGCAAACACCTGCCACTTCATCACCAGTGAAGCAGAGTGGGTGCGGGCATCACCCAGCCACACTACTGGGCAGATAAGGAGGCAGCGGGGAACTATTGCTGATACACCCACAGCAGCACCAGGGAGCTGTAATTTACTCAAAGGGGCAAACATGTATGGATAGTAACAAGGAGCACATCAGGGGATGTCTTCCCCTCACACAGAGATACATCACACGCTCCTATGTTTCTCTCCATGTTTCTCTCCACGCGTAACAGTGACTTGACAGGGATGTGAGAACAAAATGAGCACAGAAACACCCTATTTCTAATATATCTAATATATCTATTTCCTAAACAGCCTTGAGAATTTCATTCATGTAGAGTTTTGGTGCTATTTCTCCAATTCCTTAATTTTCATGCAGAAGCAAAACAAATAAGAGGAATACCCGATGGAAGAGCTATACTGAGACAGAAATTGTACAGGCCGGTACTGGCAGTAGCTTTTTGTCCAAAAGAACAAACAACTGAAGTCAGCTGGATTACCTGACCAGCCCAAGAAGTGGATAAACCAAAATGGAAACAATTTCCCTGCCACCACATAGATGATCTTAAATCAATATATTTGGCTGTCCAGAGTATTTCTATGTAATTCTATACAAGAGTTATGGTTACCAATCTTACCTAATCCTGTAAAGGGATGAAATACTTCGTCACACTTTCAAATTCTGTGAAGGCAGTGAGCAGATGAAGAAAGATGATCCAGCTTCTTACCACTTGTTACAGAAAAGTTCATAATATTCATTATTCAAAATATGAATTGGACATCTGTATTTACAATGTTTAACAAGTCTTGCTTAGTGCTGAAGCCAAGCTGCTCATTTCACCCATACTCGTCTACTGTCATCATCGACGGCTGATTTCCAAACATGGCCAGACAGCAGTTTTCATGGCAGGGGTCATGAAACATTCTTGCATCCTGAATCAGGATTCAACAATGCCATGTGCCAAGCCTTAGAAGCATGCAGAGCATTTGCAACTGAGCACCTGCGGAAATCCCATTTCCTGACAAAGAGAGGCCTCCAATATTCATGTTTTTCTCCTGCTCTTAGGCCATGCTGTAATGAAATATGGCCTGAATGATCCTTTTATAGCTATACAGGAAAATGTCCTTGCTTAGCATTTACCCCTCCTTATGCAGGTTCAGTGGAGACTTGGTTGAGCAATCAACAAAGACACACAGAGTGAAAAGTCTGGCTGATGGGATATGACCAAAACCACACACAGAGCAGGGATACAAAGTGGACATGCAGGTTATCAGAGAAACTGGATGGACTCTGGTAATTTTATGGAATATAGGTAAGAGGACAGAACCCTGAGGAGTCACATTAAATTAGGCGTAAATGCTGACAGTGACATATGCAGGCACAGCCAGAGTGTGTGCTCATGGAAAGGGAGACCAGGAGTGCTGTTGCCAGCAGCATGTGGATAATCAGAGAGTACAGGACTGCACAGGAACTGCTGCTGGGTCAGTGACAACAGTCAACGGGGAGTAAGCTGAAGGCATGCTGGAAGGGACATGGAAGGGGCTGATTGTGACACTAGTGATGGAAATGACTTTGAACAGGTTCTACTCTGAGTCTCCCTGCTCTGCAAGGCACCCTCCCATTACCTCCTGCTGCAGTTCTGGGTTGCCCTTACTCTAAGGTGCTTTTGTCCCTTTAAAGGCAGTATTCCCTTACTCCAAGAAACCTGCATCCTTGTCCTGCCCCCTTCACTCTAATCCTGGGTTGCTGCTGCTTTACTTCTGACATGGAGCTATCTGTGTCTCCTCCTCAAACTCTGGCTGCTACCTCCCCACCATCACATATCTATATGCCCCCAGGTCGTCCTCTCATCCTCCATCCCCCTGGCACTCCATACCCCAGATTATCTCTGCTTTTGTTTTTTTCCCTCTAGCAGTGTGAGTGTGAATCCCAAGCTGTCACATGTAGCAGACCATTAGCCTGAACACTGTTCATGCCCAATCTCACTTTTTCTGGGCCACTCACTGAAGCTTTAAACCAGTGACTACAGAGACTGAGCAACTGTGAAACACTGCCAGCCCTTAAAATGTCTCACACACCATCACATACCTATTTCATAGCTTCAAGGGACAACACAGGTTTGGCAGTTTGGTGATCAATCATTTGTCATGGCTCTGCTGGTCTTTACTGGTCCGTCAGCCTCATTTTGGGAACCATAATCCATCATGGCACCAGGCAGGCTCAGTGGATGCAGAGTGACAGTGACTATTCCCCATTTCCACAAGGAAATGCTAGAGCAACTTTTGTCTGATGGGTATAAAAATCAGGTCTCCATGGCACGCTCCCTTTTCCTTCCTTCCTGCTGATGAGTCTTTCCTCTGGGTACTTCAGGGGACCTACCCCCTCCTCTTGGCCATGACAGCCTACATTCAAACAGCTGCTAGGGCTGGATGAAGCACCTGCTCTGGGCAACAGCAGCTGGAGTTCATTTTGGGTCCAAAGGGCCGAGGCCAAGCAGGCTGACTGCATGTGCACTAATCCAGTATCATCAACAACTCCACCAGCAACAGGTGCCTCTTTGAAGAGGGAGGGAAAAACTATTTGGGGAGGAATCAGAGCTTTATAAAGGACATTATAGGCCAAGTCCTCAGCTGGTACATGCACAGTTAAAGCATGTACTCTCTTGAAGTTATATGAGTAATGCTCACATATATGAGTAAAATATTTGGCCCACTCTCAGTGCTGCTTCTCTTTTTATTTTCCTAAGGATTTTTCACCTCCTCTCTTTGCTCTGCATTGATCTTACATCAATAAAGAAAAGAAACTTTTCTGTCCCTTGCTTCAGACCAAACAGCTGAAAGTCAGAAGCTACATATACCAGATTTCAACATCCTCCTCTGCATAGGTAACACAATCTTACCGTTGCCTGACAAGATTTGTCCCTCAGTCTTGCTTGAGCTGTGGGGTCCAGATCAGGAGTATGCATCAACTGGAACAAGGGTGATCCCATTCTGGAACAAATCAAACCAAAACCCATCAAGGTTCATTAAGAGAAAACTTTCAGCACAGGCATCATAAGAATTGCCTTGTACTTGCTCAGGCCAGTGGTCCATATAGGCTACTGCGTAATTTCAATATATGACCACTACACGATGACATGGGAAGAGTGCAAAAAAACCCTGACAGAAGCAGCTATTGGCCAAACTGGATCCAAGGAAAGTTTTATTCTTATCTCATTTTGCGGAAAAATTGTTTACCACCCAATACATACTAATCTCTTTTTAAAGTCCCTTTTAATACATTTCTGATAAAGGCCTGTATTAATGAAAGCCTCCATATTTTCTTCTTTTCTGAGTCCTGCCATTCTGAGCTCCAAAGGTCACTTCTGTAAATCTGGTCTTGCTCCTTGCAGTTACTCTTGTGCCTGTTCCTAGAGAACCTGGAAGCATTCTGGAGCCTGAGAATGGAGCTGGATTCACAAAAGTGGCACCACAGAGCACTGCCAAAAGCAACATGAGTAAAAGCAGCCTTTCCAGTGTTGATGCACTATTAGAGGAAAATGTGACCTAACTGCAAGTTGGTCATGTGAACCAGTCACAGCCTTTATAGCTTTGTATTCCAAAAATTATTTTCCTGAACTGTGTATCTTTTAATTCACGACTTTCCAAGATTCAGATTTAAGTCACTTTCCCCTTGAGACTATGTCTCAGCTCGGTTAAATTACAAAAAGAAGCCAAGTGGAGACAGTTGGATGAACAGACCTGGTGGTGAGAAGAGCACAGGCAGAAAAAACAGTCTCCAGTCCATAACAGTTTCTGGCATCTCATCCACAAGCACACACAAGTATAAACTGTACTGTGTTGACTTGACTGTTTAAATAAGACTCCAAGAATTTCCCTTGACAAACACTGCAGTGCAGGCCAGGCAATGCCATTTCCTCACCAGTGATGGGACAGACACACAACCACACAGGAACATCCACTGCTAGAAATTCTAGCGGTATTCTCAGCTGCTGCAGACTCACGGATTCCCTTTGAGGCTTTAACCACAGTTCCAAAGTCAGAAAACACCACAGCATGTACAAACATACACAGAAGGCAATTTTGCACACTTGTGCATCAGGTTTGCCCGCATACATGCCTGAGGGAACCACAGGGCAATCACTCTGCACGCTTAATACTGAGCAGTCAGGATACCTACACATTACTGCCCTTCCCAGCCAAAGCAATAAAACACTGCAAGCATGTGACAGCACAGAGCTCTCCCTAACCCTCTGAATCCTCACTGCGGTTGCTGTCACTGGGCACATTTCACGCAGGCCAGCTGCACGGGATTTATTCAACCAGTTTTGGAGTATCAAAGCTAACTTTTTTTTTTTTTTTGTCTTTGCCCCAGGCAGGCACTTGGTATGCAGGATTTAAAACAGAGAACAAAATGTGCTGTGAAATTTGTAAATACTCGGCACAGTAATTTCTAAATTCTAAAAAAAGATAGCAACTGCAGTGGTTAAAAAATCAAAAAGTGAAGCATTTCACTATATCACTGTGAGTAATGCCACTGTGACCTAAAGACCAGCCTAAATAACTTCCCAAGATTACTAATTAATGGTGCTGACTGCCTTGATAGGAGCCAAACATATTCCAAGTTTTATCCCATGATTTCAGTGAAATGAGGATAATGTCCAATTCAGCAAGTGCTCTGCATAAAGATACTGAAATTGAAAAAAAAAATTGTTTGAGCCCTGCAAGTTGGCACAAAAGACTTTGCCTGGGACATAGTGCCACAAACAGACTACAATCTAACACGTATCATTACAAGGTTTTTTTAATGCATTTAAAGCTATTAAAATGGAATTAGGCAGAAAACTATAGGAAAAGAGACACCCTAGGGAATCACAACACTTACACAATTTAGATGGCCTAGTAGAGGTGCTTTGAGCAGAAAGCAGCAATAAAGGGTCATTTTTGACTGGAACTAGAAGAGGAATTACTTCATTGGAATTTAGCATTGCCTTTAAGGTCTATGACGTTTCAGTGAAATTATCCACTTCTGCTTTGCCTGATTCACCATCATTGACTCCATAGTAATAAAAAATTTAAAACAAACATTTAGCTGATGAATGTTCACATTAAAGTTGCAAATAAAGAACCTTTTGACATTTTTTTTTTCTCAAGCAGTTTCCCTTAAATTTTGAAAGGATTCTTTTTAACAAAAATTGTGGAAAGGGTTCATTTGGGGTTTTTTGGTGACTGCAAAAGCCAAACTATTTAGAGTCACTTCCTCTTCACCTGCAAACATTTCACACTCCTCTTACCACATCTGTGGCTTTAATTTCTTTTCTCTCAAGCCAAGTAGCAAGTGGCATTAGTCAAACCAGTTAACTCCCAGGAGTACCTGAACTTCAGAAGCAGGTGCTCTTGGTACTAGCAGGGACTCTATGAACATTGATTATCAGCAGCATAGAGGAGCAATAAATGGTTTCTGCATCTTCATCCCTTACCCACAGTTTATTTCACAGAATTATTTCACAGAATATTCTGAGCTGGAAGGGACCCGAGTCCAGCTCTTCAGTGAATGGCCCATACAGGGCTTGGACCCACAGCCTTGGTTTTATTAGCACCATGCTCTTACCAGCTGAACTAATCTTTTTACTTCTGCTAGCCCAGATATTCCGAGTATGTACAAAGTGCACGCCTTATGCTTACCTCAAAGAGGTAGGTCTAATGCTCCCTCAAGGGCCACATGGAGCACTTACTGAAGTTTACATTGCCTGGAAGGCATTACCTGCATCACTGATTTCAGATGGCATAGGCTGTGCAAAAAAAAAAAAAAGCCACTGCCTTTTTCAACATGTCAAGTCTTATTTTCTCATTTGTCCAAGAGTAAGTGCAGATTCTTACCTGAAGCTGTGGAAAGGAAGGTAGAGTAGAAAGGCAAGGTATATAAATTATGACAGACTTTAGGCAGTTTGGCATTGCACAACTCCCTTATGCAACTCATTGCCTAGGGTGAGCCACATGTTTTCAGAAATTCCACAGAACTCCCTTAAATATGCTCCAGTGCTGAGGCTTAGTGGCTTCAACCTGCAATTAGTGACTGGACTTATGATACACCATGGACAGATTGCATGGATGAGCCTTAAGTTTGCTGGCCTATGCTTTTTGAAATGTGACTTGAAATAACAATTGCAGGATCTCAGAGGCAGATGAACCCTGACAATTTATTCAAACTTACACCCAAGCACTGCCTTTTTATAAAAATCAAATGGGTAGTATCAGCCAGTACCACTTCAAATGAATAGTCCACTTACAGCTTAAGTATATTTATAAGAGAAAATGGTGACTGAAGGGCCAACACTGCTGGCCAGGCTGGGAGCACAGACAGCCCTCAGGCTCCAGCTCTCCCTGCTGCCTCTGCCCAAGACAAACCATGGGCTTCCTGAGTGGTGGCAGAGGCTGGGCTTCTAAAGACACAGGTGAGCTGAGAAGCTGAGTCTGCACACCCAATGATTTTGTAAATACAAGCAGAAAAGACATGGAGAGAGCAATTCAGTGTAAGTGATTTGTCAACATTGAAAGTCGCACTGGAGAGAGTGATACGTGCTTAAGAGAAAATAGTGACATACAGCTTCTAGACACGAATTAAATAATGGCAACAGCTTAGTTTGACCTGCAGCCCCATCACTAAGAAGCCTACACACATGTAGGCAGTCACACAAACGTGGCCACGTGCAATTGGACTTGAGATGGAAAGTGAAAGCTGAAGGTGTCAAATGCAAACCAGGTCAGAGCAGGACAACAGTCACAGACAGGAGTCTGGCAATGCAGTTTGCTGAAATGCACTTACCTCTTCTAGGCTTGACTGACCACACACACAGACCCCAAACCTGCTTTTGGCATGAAGCTTTCTCAGTGGTCCAGAGAAAGAAGAGTGAAAGCAAAGGGAGAGGACAAGTCTGACTGACCACTGTTGTGACACAAGGTTAAAGATAAGCTTTTCTTGTATTTTAGAAATTCTTACAAGCTAGTCTCCTGTGTTAGCTTTGGACACAGCATAGATATGCCTGTGGGCTATGGGCATATTCTGTTTGAAGGGCAGATTTCAATCAGTACAGTTTCAAAGAATTCTATATATATTCCCTATATATTTTATATATATATATATATGTATATATTACCATGGTTTATATTATCCAGCATTTGTAAAGTTCCTTAAGGAAGAACTTCATTGCAAAAGAAGAAAGGCAATGAGCTTCTCAATATATGTGCTATGGAAGCCTATGGAAAGGAACTGCCCGAGATAAAAGCCATATCAGAGGTACAAAGGGTTGCAACTTTATCAGGCTACTGATGCAAAGTGGGAAAACTCAATAAAGACAAAAAGACATGGTGCTTTCCAGTCATAAGAACATCCTTAAGCATCTCATCTGGCTTCAAACACTGCAGTAATTGATATTTTGCAAACACAAAAATATCAATGCGAGGAAAATCTTTGACTATAGAAAAGGAAAGCAATTGAAAACTAAGGTTTGGAGTATTTGAGGTGAGTGCCAAAAGAAGACTTCCAAATTTAAATTTTACTTCCAAAATTACAGTTAATCCAAGTATTTTTCAAATAGTATTTTATTACAGTATTTCATTTTATTAAACTGAATATATACAAAATATGTGTAGATCTGACACTGCATAGTAATTTTCAGTACCTATAACCCCAAAAAATAAGCTTCTGTCTGCTCTGTTTGATACCAAGACAGCTCTGACTTCAAAAGGTCTAGGCTTTTACTTTTGGGAAACCCTTTTTTTTTATCACTAAAACATGCTGGCTTTAGAGCACTACAACAAACTGGACCTTTCCATTTGCTCATTGACATAGAGACAAAAAACATTTTCCAGAATGTCCACCTCACAGTCTTGTCATAATATTGTTGCCTCCCAGGGCCATCTCATGTTTTGCTAATGACTACCTTAACCAAGAGACAGTTAAAAGAAGTTATATTGCTATGCCTACTTAA